TATATATATATATATATATATATATACACACACACACACGCATTCCCTAATAGACTTTTGTACACTTGCTCATAAACCTACCTAGACAGCATCTAGTGTGCCTACATAGATCAGCATTCTTGCCCATCAAACCCTTAAAAAGCATAAATGTCCCAAAACTAGTCAGCTTCTCATATATGCAACATTTTTGGCACTGATCCCAAAAAGTGATGTCTATGTAGGCAGATCACAAGTGTTTGAGACATATCCAGTCTTACCAATATGCTATTATAACAGAAAGGTGACAAACACATCATAAAGTATGGAACTGCATCCACAGAGAGCTCTAAATGCATTTCTAGATCACATACCTAAAGCATCTTCTGGATAGTGGAATAATCCAAGTGATGTAATCAGATCAGACGTTATCAAACGAAAGCATTCCGGTAAATCCGGTTTGTAAACCCCTTCATCTCATGGTCTGCATCCGAATCCAGGACTGATACGACGCTGTCACGCTGATTTGCACGATCTACGGGCGAGATTTTACGCGCAGGGCATCGCCGTTTCGCTAGTGTTTTGGTTTCACTAGGTGGCCATGTTTGTGCCACTCCGCGCACGCGAAGCTCCTCTATCCTCCGGTGAAATTACGAATCCTACTACGATGAAGACTTGGCTCATGTATATTAAAAGCCTCATTTAGACGTTGCCTGGTAACCTTCCTGGAGCTGTCAGTCAGAATACCACATTAATATTCATTGCCCGAACCCTTGCTATTCGTTAATTGGCCAGTTGACTAGCGCCCACGCCTGTCTTTGAACCAACCAGCTTGGCTGTCTAGGGAGGGCTAATTAATATTCATGAGCCAAGCCTTCAGCAACCCGGCCTCTCTAAAGACGCTTTTCAGCTACTTTCGCTAAATACCACAATTTCAACGAAATTGGTTCAAATACGAGAATACCTTCCCTAAACTTAAATAATCTGTGTTTTCCAAGTGTGTCTGCTGCGGGCTGCCCCTAACAAAATCACAGCTTTACTAAAAATAGAGAAATGGAAAAGCCCAATATCAGTAGTCACCGCCAGAGGGAGTCACTCCATCAATTCTTTATCAACATACATTGATTTCCTTCCTATTCTTCTCTATTTTTTATTCATTTCATATATTTATTTGGCTTACCCTTACAATACAATACAAGCTTGTGCAATATTATAATATTGTAGATAAGAATGGATGCATGTATTTTCAATCTATTTCACTCAGTTTTATATAATTGCTAACTGTAAACGGCGAAACAGACTACACTTTCAAAAACTTTTAATCTACGGTATTTATTGTATCATCACTAATATAATCTCTTGTTGTAATACTTTACTTAACTCTTACTGTACTGAACACAACTACCACCAGTGTGCTAATGTGACAAAGAATCCTGAACTCTGAAAGCACATTATGCAACAAGGGCTATGTAAAACATAAAAAGGTAAACTTTTATGGTAATTGGGCTATAGAGAGAAAAATCCGACTTCATGACTTTTTTCTGATGATAGCAAATGAAAAACACATGCTTTTAGGGTACAAAAGGAGCAAAATAGCGTGTGCTCAGCAAGCATTCAGTCAATGCAAGCAAGAACTTCAGAGGAAGGAGAGTAAAAACAGGGATATAGGTAGAAAGAAACAGGGAAAATGGGTGTGTAGATTTGCTGAGTCATATCCCGTGAAATCTGAGGCTCAGGACTGAAACGGTAAAACAAAGCCTCTGGTTTAACGGCGCTTGTGGGTTGGAGTAACACAGACAGGCATTCCAGAGGAATTTTTTGGGCAGGGTGGAAGGGAGAGAGGTTAGTTTTAAAGTTTGAAGCCGGTAAAATGGCTTTGATGGTTGGTTTAATGAATTTAAGGAGATAGTTCTTTTGATATTCTGAAAATTCCCACATTAGGGCATTTCAGGGAGCCTAAAAAAACAAAAACAATTCATTTTCTTTAGTTTTCAATAATGTATTGTATTTTTGGCTTCATGTATGTGATTACCTTTGCAAATTTTATGTACAGCACTTTTGTCCCCATTATGGTTTGAAAGTGCAATGGAGTCAAGAGTGCATTTGAATTCTCACGCATATAAAGACTGTCATGTGCCAACAGCTTCTTCCTCCTGCACACACTATTTAGAGATTTGCGTTTTGCACAAAAACTATGTTTGCAATGTCCAACATCTGCTTTTGGTTACTGTGCATAATAATCCTAATATTTCAATCATTTGAATGTGAAGTAACCTATGAATAATTGCATGCATTCCTTTGAGTACAGTCAAATTATACACAAAAATAAATGGCGTAACCCTAAAAAATGCGACACCAAAGGAACAGTCTGATTCTACACCATAAAACCTATCAGCACGGCAGTGAATGCAAGATGTTGATGCAACAAAGAGTTGAACAACCTCTAATCCCAAGCATCCAGATGCACCGATTTGCTTATAAAGCATCTCAATTGAGTTTATCTTCCAGCTGTCAATATTTTCACATCTCTAAAGTAGCCTTAAAATGTTCAACAAACAAATGAATCAATTTCACCTATGATCTAGTGCAGTGGTTCCCAACCCTGGTCCTTGAGGCACCCCAACACTGCACATTTTGCATGTCTCCTTTCTCTGACACTCCAGTTGCAGGTCTTGGGAGTCTCTACTAATCAGCTGATGACCTGAATCAGGTGTGTTTGATTAAGGAGACACACAAAACGTGCAGTGTTGGGGTGCCTCCAGCACCAGGGTTGGGAACCACTGATCTAGTGAACTACAGTCTGCAGGATTAATGCATGCAGAGGCAAAACAACAAACAAGCACTTTGCTGTTTGAGTTAGTCAATGAAACTAGAGATGTGATGCTCTTGCACTCACCTGATGAGATTGACAGATTCGGCGGAGGAGTCTAATATGACGTAGACGGTCTGAGGACGCTCGAGCGGCGCCTGTTGCCCAGGTAACCCCACTTCCGGTCTGCCCTTCTCGGGTCTGACGGAAGGCAGGCTGGACATTTCTCCAGGTGTAAAATGGTATTTACAAACAGCGAAACAAACGAGCTCGAGTAACCGAGAATAATAATAAAGCTAAAGAGCTAAAGTTCACAAACGATATCAAACCAGTTGTTTTCTGAAGAGGTTAAAACAGAGGACCGTCGGACTAACGTTACCCGACCGCTAGCTAGATGTTTACTGCACGCGTTTCCTCAGATTCCCGTATCAGTGCTTTCTTTATCAGTCTGCACTAGAGCTTGATTGAAAATGAAGTCTAAAGTCCTTAGTTCCTCTATCAGAGTCTTTTCTGCTGTGCAAACAGTTATATCGCTCTCTTCTCCGCGTAAATCCGACTGGAAAACCCCACAGTGACGCTCCATGATCAGCCGAGTGTGGACAGACAGACGAACGGTCCAATAGCTTTGCAGAATGGGCGGGGCTTCACTGCGATCAGCCAATAGACGACCGATAGAATATTTGTTTACTTCAAACGTTAGGTCAGCCTTTGATATGACATTACAAACTATTTCGTCATCCCTTAGTTTTGGATGATGAACGTCTGTGATATTCGACTGAAAATAATATATTTTTTTTGACGATTTAATGAATACTCTGAGATTTAATTGAATATATAGTATGGCATCTTATTTGCGTAGCCTATATAAAATAGACAAAATATTTATTTCATTTAAACTTATTTATTATAGCCTAGGCATAGGTATGTGTTTTTGCTACATTTCACGAATAGGGTACTCTTTAAAAAAAAAAAAAAAAAAAAATAATGGAAAAAAACCCATTTATTTTTTGAAGACAA